AGGGCTGTGCCTAGGAGGCAGAAGATCATTACAGGGTGCCAGGTGGTTATGGCGATGGCGACCATTAGAAGTTCGTTGATAACCAGGGCAGTGAATGATACGCTGATGAGTCGGGGTCCTGTGATTGTGTCTAGGAGGATCTGGGAGAGGCCTTGGATTACGGCCCCTTGGTATACGGAGATCAGGACCCAGGTGAAGAAAGAGCGATAACTTAGACTGCGGCCGGACTTGAGTTCTTTGTACAGTTCGGGGTAGAGGTTGGCGAGGTGCTCATCCACGTCACGATCAAGGACCAGGGAGAAAACGGGGGCGTTGGTGTAAACGGTAGCATAGCCGACCATGAGCCAGTTGATAAAGAGACCCTTGGGATCAAAGTGGCTGGCAATGCTGTACATGGTCTGGCAGGCGCTGATGATAAGACCGCGATGCATGATAAACTGTGCTAGTTTGGCAGACCGTTTGTAGGAGTTGCGTCCGTGCCAGACCAGGAGCTTGGTGATATGGTGGAACTGCGTAATGCTGAAATCTGCTGCAAGGGAAGCCTGGCGTCCTTCTTTACCGACGATGCCAATTCCCACATCAGCCGACTGAATCATGGACACATCGTTGCCGCCATCTCCTATGCAACAGACTCGCTTTTTGGTATATTGACGGATCAAGTCCGCAACCTCAGCTTTCTGAGTTGGGGAACATCGACACGCAACAACAGCGGGCAACAAGACTGCAACTGATATGAACGCTGACCGGAATTGACCAAGCATGAGAGAGAGAGATTCGCCATCAATAAGCAGGCAACAGTCGGTTTTATTACGCAGAAAATCCAAAGTTTCCTGGGCAGCCGATTTGTCTTTGACTTTTGCGACAGTATGGATGTACTGTCCTCTGGCAACTAATTTCGCAGAAATAGCCACACAGCGTGCTGTCTCTACCTTGTCCCCCGTCAACATCCAGATTTTGATTCCAGCGTTGCGGAGAAGTTCTAGTGATGGCTTAACGTCTCTTTGCAAACGGTCTTCGACCCCAGTCACTCCAAGGAGTTCCAGGTCTCGTTCCAGGTACTCGCTGATGACCTTGGCCATACCGATGTCCCGCCCTTGGAGAGCAAGCGACGCTTGCTTAAACTTCGAATCGAATTCCTGGTACTGCTGCAAGGAAAGCCGTTTCCTTCCCACAACCAGAGTACGTAGACCCTCGCGAGCCATGTTAGCAGTTTCCTCATCAAGCCAATCGTTTGCTGCAACGATCGAGGTCATGACCGTGTCTGCGCCTTTTTGATAAAACCAGATCTCGGGTCCTTGCTTGGGGGATTCTAGTATTCCACCATCTGTTTCAAATTGCACGATAATGCCCATACGTTTGCTATCCGAGGTGAAAGGAAATATCTCAAGGATGCGAACACGTACAACGACGCCTCGGGTGTGTGTAGATTCGAGAACTATCGTCTGGCGGTCACGATAGGCCAGTTTGAGCCCAACCTCCTCGGTGTACCGGACAATAGCAATTTCATCCGGCGAAGAGGCCTGGTAGTTTGTTACTTTCACACCGTCTTCTTCATCTGTTGTCGGCGTCACATTGTGGCACAAAGCAAGAGCGAGTATAACATCCCTGACACGCGAACCTATTTCTCTCCTCGTGCGAGGAGCTGCTCCAAGTCCTGTTTGGGTTCCAAACGGTGTCGAAGGAGTAGTCAATGTGCTACCAGAAAAGCTTTGTCTGACATATGAGGCCACCTCCTCCATAGCGTCGTTTGCATATGACACGGTTCCAACATGGATCTTCTTCAACTCCATTTCTGCCAAAGTCAGCTGACCAGCACATCATCCAAAGAAGGGAGAGAGACTCACCGTTCTGGGTCAAAGTTCCCGTCTTGTCCGACAGCAGGTACTCAATTCTACCAAGATCCTCTGGTATAGTGCTTGTTCTTACAACAGTATCAGGTATATCCTTGTCCCGCTCAATAAAACGACCGTACACCGATTTGGCCATATCCAAATTGACACGCAAGCTCATGGGGATAATCGTAGAGAAGAGGATGAGATAAATCATGATCGCAACATACCACTCTTTATCATTAGTTGGCTGGAATCCTTCCAAGGCAACCAAGATAATCGACAGGGTGAGAGTCAAAGCGCATAGAATTTTGGTCAAGTTGTTAATTTCATACTCTAACAGCCCTACTTTGGAGCGAGATGGGGACGTTGAAAGTGCCGCTCGTGTCTGTGAACCAGTATAGATAATGACGGCATATGTTATCGTATTTGAGGCAAGGACAGTATTGGCCCAGGCCGTGTTATCGATCGTCAGCGGAGCAGATTTGGATTGAAATCCTTCGTTACCAGAATCATCATCTGTCTTATCAACATGGGGGTCATAAAATCCGACAGGAGGCCCTAACTCAATAGTGCCAATAAATTCATTTACACTTTTATCTGGCGCGCTTGCAGTAACTTTCAACCGAGAAAGGTCCATAAGTGGAAGGGTTTGCGATAGTACTGATGGCAGGCGTAGTTTCCAGTCTGTTTCACCGTCCAGCTGATCTGTGCGTATGAACGTATCGCTAGCCGACGATGCGTTCGTAGTTTCTGCTGCGGTACTCGAGCTAGGCTCCGCCGTAGGCGGTGCTGAACTTTGGTCCGCCTGTATAAGATCTGTGGATGGCTCTGTCACGGTGTCCTGGTGAGCCGTGTCATTCGAAACGCTTTTTAAGATCACAACATCGGCCGGAAGGCGTTGGTTCTTTCGGATTTTCAAGACATCACCAACTTTCAGGTCCCGAGATTTCTTAGTAACTTGCATGGAATTTGCAATCTCGGAGTTAACATCCCCAGACACAGAAGCCGCCTGCCTCCCAAGAGGCTTGTCAAATGCTAGAACGGAAAACTCCTCTGCATTCGCCTCTGCGTCCCTTCGCCGTCGACCGATATCATCCAAAGCTTCTTTTCCAAGAGATATGGATACGACGAACGCCAATGGCGCAATGTAAGAGGACATGTAGCCTATCCGAAGCACAGGAATAATTTGCGAAAGTGCGACAAGGAGGAAATAGATGTTGAAAAAGAACGAGAATTCGTTGTACAATGTACGGGGCAAGAAACTCCATGGAGTATATTTTGCATTCGAAACGATATTCGGCGGGTATTTGGACCTTTGTACCTGTCCGACAAAAACATCGCGGGGAGGCTTCGCTATCGCAGTTTCACTCTCAGTTGACGCCGAAGAGCCTGAGAACAAACTTGCTATTTTAGCACCCGGAAATCGGAATCGACGACCCCTATGCGGCCCCCCCTCGTTATCCGGATACGAGCGGCCGGACTCATGTCGACCTTCCTCCAGTAGGGGCGCATTGTCATCAGTATAATTGCGAGAGCTCGCGTGGGACCTTCGCAGGCCGTCGTCGTCTCGATCTTCGAGCAAACGATCCATGTCCTCCGATCCCCTGTACGTCCCGGAGTGACTCCGGCCCCACACTCGATCTCTTACGCCCAGGCGCAAATTCCTCAGCGCAATCCCTGGTCCATGGTCCCTTGGTCTCCTTGGTTCGTCTGTTGAGCGTGGGGAATGAATTGTTGCCGTGGTTGGATCAAGCTCCTCCAAGTCAAGGTCGTCGTCCGAACCAGAATCACCAGCGATGCTGGCTCGGGCGTTGGGGTTTAAATAATCGGATGATGAAGGCATGATGAACAGATCACAGACAAATGCGGTGTAAGTCCCCACATCCAGGGGAGCAGTCCTCAAGCTCCTGCACTAGCAAATGATATCATGTCACGTCGAGTTGCATCCAAGACTTTTCAGCAGGAGCATTGTTGATGCGGTAGGGAGATATTCGGGGTTTGGTCGCGCAAAATATCGGCGGTATGGTTATCGGATGGGGCGCAGAAACGAAATGAAGAGGTACAGGAGTTATATTTGTGTCTGTTATTGTCAAGAGCAAGGGCGTTCGTAATCTCGAGTGATGGTGGCCTAGAGTATGGAGATGTTAATACCTTAGTCAGGAAGCGCAGTAGTGGAGGTGTCCAATCACATGATTGGATGGTCGCAGGAGACGTGTACTAATTGTGGCGCATCAGTAAATGGGGTGTGTTGTGAAACAGCGATGTCATAGGTGTAATTATAAGATTATACCTAGGACCACTGTCTTGCGTAGATTGATTTTCGTCAGAGCATAGTAATTATTCCTCGGGAGTTGTAATTGTGGCTAGTACTGGATAAATGCTTACAGTGCATAAAAATTGCATTCGTATTGGGAGTTAAGTTAATGGCCCATCAATTCAATTATCCACTGTATGGACTATACCTAACTAATCAGGTTGGCAATTAGGATGGTACTGTCTGGCAGAACAGTATTTCTACCGCCCTGGATACCGCCCAGCCTTTCCCCCTGTTTTCCCTTCCATTTTCCCTAGGCCTCACTAGCTGGTTAGTTCGTAAGAAGGATGACTATGGTTTTAGTCTTTTCCTTTGAGCCATTAGGAACGACGAATTGGCTGCATCAGTTTCAAAGAAGATTTACACTGTCAAACGTTCGGTTGACAGTACGCCGGTCCCGCTTTTCTGCTTCACAGCGCTGCACTGCCATGCATCCACGTGACCCTACAAACAGAATAGGTGGCCCTTCCGCCTGGAACATTAATCGCCCGCCCCGGGTGACGGGCGCGTCCCAAGGGTCCGATAGGTCAATAATAGTTAACTAGTACTTGGAGTAATAAGACAGAATCCGGAAGTCCGTAACGGAATCAGCTGTTGGATTCCCAAAGTCGTGATTATTGTTCTTCCTGGATATGCGGCCATGAGTCCTTATTTCTTTTAATTTCTTGTGATGAATTAGTTCCCTTCAACGCAAGCTGTGTACATTTCTTATTTCATGTTTTACTAATTAAATAATTCTACGCCGTTGCCATTTTGCGTCGTCGGCCCTGCCAGGGTGAGCCTTTGGAAACGTGTCATGCGATCTATTTTAAGCTAACATTTTACCGCCGAGTTAGATCTCATATCCAGCAAACATGGCTCATAATGAGGTATCGGCCGCCTGGCATCCGGCTCTCAGATCGGAGGATGGTGTACCTTCGAATGCACCTATCTCGGACGACCTAACACAGGAATCGAAAGATTCCACAACAGAATCTGCCGCCGAGCTCAACTCTCCCCAGGCATTTATACAAGAGAACGAGTTTCATAGCAGCTCTTCATCCCAAGATACCGATGCTTCTGTTGACGTGCAGCCTACAGTCGCCCCGGCCGGAATGGACTTAGATACTCCGCCGCATGCTGAGCAAGTCTTGACTCCCGAGACTGGTCAGGAGAACACTGCAGAGGATTCCGCGCAGGAAGATATCCCAGGTAATCAGCAAGGGTTGCTGCAAACAATGTCCGATGAGCCTCGTGTTATCGAGACTTCTGAGGAAAGCGCGCCTGCGTTTGGGGGCGACGCGAACGGGTCTCACGATACCACGGCGCCTGACAACGTTATGGACGAATCCTTTTTAGAAGGACATAACACTACAGAGCATCGCGAGGATAACGACGCAGCTTCTTGGTTCAATGAGCAGGTTGATAAAGGTGACCATCTGACTACCAACGAATTTGTGAATGACGATAACCAAGAGTTTTGGGGAAGCCCTACAAATGGTGATGCCGGGGACGACTTTTTCAGCCAGCTGAAAACCCAAACCAAGCCAATTTATATTCCACCTGAAACAGAATCTAGATATGAGGAGGGTGTTCCGTTGCTAGATCATACTGTTGAGTCACCAGCCCAGCCTTCTGTGAAGGAAGAGAGTCAGATCGATAAACTGTTTGAGAATGATGGTGACGATGAAGGTGGAGCATTCTTCAATGAGGTCCAGGGATCTGTACCAGAAGAAGCAGAACCATCTCCCCATATTACTCGCAAGAGTACCACACAAGTCATCGGCTCGCTTGACGCTTCCCCCGACTCTCCGGTCAGCGCCGCATCCCCAACAGCTCAGGAATTTGACAATATCCTAGCGGCGGCTGCATCAGAGAACCAGGCCAAGGAGGATCTTTCTGACGATGATTTGGCTGCAAAGTGGCAGGCTGAACTGTCCAATGACCAACCTGAGAAGGGTTCAGAAGATGAATTGGCTGCTAGGTGGCAAGCAGCGCTTGATGACGATGACGATTTGCTTTTGGAGGATGAGATTGACGAGAGCTCGAACAATCGTCAAGAGTCACTTCCTCAGGATCTGAATGGGAGTGTCTACGAGACGACCCAGGCAACCCTGAGCAGTCCCTTCGGTACTCCGCAGAGCTCAGCGCGACCTCAGGCGCAACCCACCAGTTACACGCCACATCAGCCATCCACATCGGATTTACTACAAGGGATCCCAGGCATTGCTCCTCAATCAAGTGTCGCTCCAATGCAAGACTATTTTGCAACCCCACCCCAGCCGCGACCGACCGCAAAGAGAGCAGAGAGTTTCGCAGAACGCTCTAAACAAGGCTACAAGTCACCCTACGACCTGCCAGATGATCTTACTCGTCCTCGCAAACCCGTGGTCGCCCACAAACCGGTTGTCGCGCATCCTGGTAGCATGCCACCACCACCACCTCGGAGTAGCAGTATCCCAGGGCCTCCTACCAATGCGTCAGGGGTACCTACTCCACCTCCGGCGGCAACGTCAGTTCCAGCTCCACCTGTCACCACACCTAAGAACTTCTATGAAGAACTTCCTTTGCCGCCCCCTCGGCCAAGATCCCGGCCCGCGAGCTCGGGACGTTATACACCTACTGCTAATATAGTGACGTCCCCACCATCGCACTCGCAGCCGCCGCCGCCTCCGCCCCCAGCGAACCCATATGCTAGCCTCTCATCTCCTCCGCAGGACAGTGCTAGTGTCGGTTCTCAACCTCAGTTGCAGCAACCAGAACGCTTAGATCCGTATGCAAATCTATTGGGCCCCGGTGCTCCAGGTGCCCCGGCAGCGCCTAACGCAGCGTCACGATACTCGCCTAAACCACCTACTGTACAACCTGGGACCAAACCTCCATTGGCACCCAGGTATTCTCCGGCACCACCCCAGTCCGCTGCCCCGGCACCACCTCGTACCCGCTATGCTTCTCAGCCATCCAGCGTCTCTAGCCAGGGGGCTGTTTTGCCCTTCCAACCACGTACCTCAAGTCCGTTGGCTCATCATGAAAAAGTCTCATACCATCCGCCAGAGGGTCTTGCTATCAGATCTGTTCCAGAACCAGCATCTAGCTATGCTCCCAACGGTATGCAGCCGCAACCGGATGAGCAGGAAGTTTCTAACTCGATCACAGCTCCCGTTGGCGCTGTAGATTCAGCTGTTGCGACGGCGGTTCCTGAAAACGTGTCGGCGGCTCTTCAGCCCACCTCACCTCCGAGGACTTCGTATGCTCCTCCGTCGTATATAAATGAATTTTCAAAGCGTGTTGCTCCTATGGCCAGTCCTCCACCGGCGGTTGTGCCTCCTCCTGGTGACGCTCAATTTGTTCAGCCTCGCAGGTCACAAACTCAATCCCCTAGCCAACAGGCATCGGCTCCAGGATTGTCTGTACCCTCGGATCCTTTCCAGCGGCCTGCTTCGGTTCATGCTCCTGCTTCCCCCACGAAGTCTGCCAACCCCTACGCCCCATCTCATGTTTCTCTCCATCACCGTGTTCTGTCACAACAACTTGAGTTCATCCCACCCAATGATGGACAGGAATTGGATCCACTCGAGCGATGGAAAGGCGCCCCAATTGTCAAGTTTGGATTTGGCGGCTCTATAACGTCATGTTTCCCAAAGCATGTGCCTCGATATGCTGCTGGTCAAGCCGCGCCAAAAATCAAGTCTACCCCAGGAGAAGTGAAAATACTCCCAGTCAACGATTGGGTGCCTATCACTGAAGGCATTGTGCAACATCCCGGTCCACTGAAAAACAAGTCCAAGAAGAAGGACCTAGTTGCCTGGCTCTCGAGTAAGATCGTGGCATTCGAGAATGAGGGCATCTCTGAAGCAGCCCAATTACACCCTGAGTCTTCGAAACGGCATGACGAGAAAATATTACTGTGGAAGATTGTTCGAGCGTTGGTAGAACACGATGGTGTCTTGGAAGGGTCGGCTGAAATAGAAAAGTCGTTACGCTACATTATATTCCCTCACCTGCAAAGTTCAGAGTCGGAGCCGACTTCCGGAGTCAACCTCCCAGCCTTCAATGCTTTGCCGCCACTGAACGCCCCTTCCAAGTCGGATGCTACTGACAGCCAGTCAATAGAGAGCATTCGCAATAGCCTTCTTGTAGGCAACCGGGAGAAAGCCGTATGGGATGCCGTGGACAATCGTCTATGGGGTCATGCTATGATAATCGCCTCAACCCTCGATAGGTCTGTTTGGAAGCAAGTCGTTCAAGAATTTGTCAGACGTGAAGTCAAATCTACGACTGGTAACTCGGAATCCCTTGCCGCACTTTATGAAATTTTCGCCGGAAATGTTGATGAAAGCGTTGATGAGCTTGTCCCCCCGTCAGCAAGAGCGGGATTCCAGATGGTCAGTAAAGTTGGTGGACAAGGGCCGTCTAAAAATGCCCTTGAAGGTCTGGATAGCTGGAGGGATACGTTAGGGCTAGTCTTGAGCAACCGCAGTCCCGAGGACCACAAGGCCCTGCTGGCCCTCGGTCGACTGCTCTCGTCATACGGTCGGACGGAAGCTGCTCATATTTGTTTTATGTTTTCACGCGCCGCGGTATTTGGCGGTGCGGATGACCCTCAAACGAGTATAGTTCTCTTGGGAGCCGACCACCAACATCTACCCATGAACGTGTTGCAGGATGATGATGCGATCTTGCTTACTGAAGCGTATGAATATGCAGTTTCAGTCTTAGCGGGGTCTCCTACGTCTACATTACCCCATTTGTTGGCGTTCAAACTCATTCATGCTTGTTCTCTGGCAGAGAATGGTCGCAAATCGGAAGCTTTGCAGTACGCCGATGCCATTACAGCAGCTCTAAAGGCAACTACAAAGCCATCTGGCTATCACAACCAACACCTGCTTTTCGGAGTAGACGAGCTCTCGGCGCGCTTGAGACAAACGACAAATGACAGTGGGTCTTCTTGGATCTCTAGACCAAGCATGGAGAAGGTTTCTGGTTCGATGTGGGCCAAGTTCAACAGTTTCGTTGCTGGTGAAGATAGTGACGCCGCCTCAACAGGTTCCGGAAAAGCTGGAGACGGAGATATTGGGCCGTTTGCTAAGTTTTCCGGCACTCCAACCGTCAGTCGGTCGCCATCCGTGTCGGACTTTGGGCCCTACTCCTTGCCTGCAGCCCAGTCAGCGCCAGGCAGCGGCCCTTCACGATATCAACCGGGCAACCAGTACATCCCCAACTCCTCCCCTGAACAATATCGTGGAAGATCATCTCTTGATTCCCAGAGATCATTGTCGTTCGGGTTCTCGTTTGGGCAACGACGAGGTTCCCAAGAACCATCGACACCTGTTGAAAGCAGCGCGTATCCAGGTGGCTCACTTTACGGGTCTCCATCTGCCGCGGGCTATCAATCTACCCCCCTCAAGCGTCGTATATGCCCCTGGCGCCTGTTGTGGAAGATTCAGCCTCTCAGCCCTACCCTGTCGAACCTGCCCCAATGCAAGGATCCCCTGTGAATATCTCACCCTACCAACCCCCGGTTAATGAGTCCTTTGGCGAACCTCTGGATCAAAGTTTGGCGACAGTACCTGCATCTGGCGTTGCCGGCTACTTTCCGCCCGGTGCCGGTAGTGGCTATGAACCACCTTCCGTCGAAATTAGCGCAGCTCCTACATTGGACACCACGGAAGAGCCCACCCATCAGGATGTCCTAAAAAAGAAGAAGTCCTTCATGGACGATGATGATGACGATGACCTTGCGGCGCGTGCAGCCGCTATTCAGAAGGCTGAGAAGGCACGCAAAGACCGCGAAGCCGATGAGGCCTTCAGAAAAGCTGCGGAAGCTGATGGTAAGTTCTGTCCCTAGATGTTCATACTTGGACATATTATTGATTTTTCTGTACACAGCCAATAGACCCCCCGCTGCAGCGAAGAAATCATGGTTTGGCGGTTGGTTTGGAGGAGCAAAGAAAGAGAACGACAACCACAATAACTCGGGGGGGCCTATCCGTGCCAAACTTGGCGAGGAAAACTCTTTTTATTATGACAAGGAGTTGAAGAAATGGGTCAACAAGAAAGACCCGAACAGCGCCAGTGTATCACGTGGCACACCGCCACCACCCAAAGCGTCGGCTCCTCCTAGCAGAAGTGCCAGTGGTAGCACTGCACCGCCTGCAGCAAGCCTGGGCTTGGGACCTGATAGTAGGCCTCCGTCGTCTGCAGGTGCTCCCCCGTCACTATCCAGCAGCCCAGCACCACCCTCGCTTGCTGCCCCCCCACCTATGCTAGGCACTGCTCGGTCAGCCTCTACTGGTGCAGCCATGCCCACGCCACCAATGGGCTCCTCTTTGCCCCCGCCTCGCCCTGCAACATCGCTGAGCCATGCCAGCTCCATAGATGACCTTCTTGGGGCACCACAGGCACGCAAGGGCGCCCCTGCTAAAGGACGGAAGAAAGGCCGATATGTCGATGTGATGGCGAAATAGGCTAGCCAGCCTACTAGATGCGGGGTCTTTTATTTTTTTTCTTTTGTGTGATCATGTCTTACGATTTTCCTAATTCCCGGCCCCACGTTACTCTTTGCACATCGTGAAGCGCATACGGCTTGCGTGTGCTATAGAATTCTTCTATCCGCCTGCACAAAAGTCTTGCATAGTGCATTGCCTCAATGAGGAGCACATTCTTCTTCTCGACCCCTTTGCATGACCAATATATTCCCGTGTACAATAAATATTTGCATATGCACCTTATGCAGTGCTTATTGCTTCCCCTTATTCCCCTTGATGATTGCTTTGCTTACACTTCTGTCCATCTGAGATCTTGGCATTGAGTGATGTGGAGGTCTCGAACCGAAGGCTTTCTGCTGCTTCGAGTTTCACGGAACATGAACGTTTATTATTTGAACATTTTAATGGTATTATAATAATTTCAACCTTCGGACGCTCAACGTTATGTGCGCTTCTATTGCGCGTACCTTTACATGCAGAGACTGTAATACATCCAGAATCCGAGCCCAGTAATTCTATTCAGGCCGCGTAAGAATTGATATAATACTGTCCCTGTCAGTCTGAACCTCACTACGTCGACTTGAAAAACTCACCGTCAAACAAGAATCTTCTCCGCTCCAGCTCCCCGGCAAGTAAACGTAGAGTATCAAAGCTGTCTCGTGGATAAAGCCTGTACGCAAGTCAACAGAATCAGCAAGGTGCTCCAATCACTGTTGTAAACGACGTTCTCAACTTACATGCAACGACCTTGGGACTCAATCGCCCAACACTCAGCACCCTTCCCCAATCCTTCCCGTCGATTCTCACTTTCGCCCAACCAGCCTCATCATCATCGTGTAGAGCTCTCATCCGCTCACTAGGCAGCTGCTCAATTTCCGTCTGAGTGAGCTGCCCCGGGTCCAGCGACGGGTTCACCAGATCCGTCCAAACACTCGAAATACGCAAGGCATCCGTAGCGATCGCCAACTTCAGCGATCCATGCATGTTAGCCGATAGTTCCAGTTTAGGCGAAATAGCAGACACAACCGCAGAACCCGAAGAGCCCTTGGAATCCGCCGCCAGCTTAGTAAACCGCTCGGAGATACTCTTCAACTGGAACAAACTCGGCAGGATGATGTGCACATCGGGGTCACGACATCGCGGTTCATGGAGCCCCTCGATGGCAGATTCATGCAGGACTTTCACGGGAATTTCCTGCGTAATGACCGTCTCGCGTTCTCGGGGCCCAGAACCGGCTGCTGGTCGGGACGCACTGGTTGGCTGACCTGCGCGACCAGCATCCTCCCCTCCGAGAGCCGGGCCGGTCATGGCTGCATGGTCCGATTCAGCGATGCCTAGTGCGTTGGACCCGGTGGTCCAGGATGATGCGTGGATGGTGAGAGCCAAGAGAGGGACGTTGCCTTTTTTGGTCAGACGCAGTTGGGCTGACGTCGCCGCTACGGCGGAGCGAAGGGCACGGTGGAGAGCACCGATGGGGACTTCGAGGTTGATGACCCCGGAGTTGGATTCCAGGATATAATTGGTTTCATCGAAGATGGCTTCCTGGTACGATTTGTTTAGATAGGACCTTCTTCGCTCGGATGACACTGGGTTACATACCACGGGTAACTGCGCCCAGACTTGGGTGCCTTGATCAGGGATGATGGTAAATCGAACGATTCCATCTTCCAGTCGCATCCAGCATACTTTACCCAGCGATGAGAGGGATGCTGTCAACTCTATAGATAGGTGTTGGTGCTTAGTGGATTGCTGGGCATTAGGTTGAAGCATCCATTGAGACTTGGCGGGAGCACCAACAGGCAACGTTGGTTTACAGGAAGAAAGGGGAATCCAAGGGGACCAAGAAAAAGGGCAGACAGCACTTACTTGAAAAAGTTGCAGCGTTAGCGAGTTGAGTGCGAAATCGCATCTTTAATCAAGGCATGTTATGGCATCACATAGGGATCGAGAGTTGATTCGATCTTATCGTCGACGTTCCTTATCGGCGATAAATTTAACCCTGACGCGGAAAACACGAGACATGGCCCAAGTCGCTATAGTACTGAGTTCGTGAGCATTTGTCTTTTTCTTTTTCGATTTTCAGTTTTATTCTCTATCTAGAATTATTATCGCGTTTCAATCCTTGCTTTGGATTATTTGATTGGGTAGTAGAAGGATAAACAACCAATTTTTGTGTTATTTGAATTCCAAACGATGCCGGCCGACATGATATATATATCATATCTTTCCTGTACTCGGTACATTGTGACCTCCAGCCACTGTCTCGATACCCTAGCACTTTCATTCGCTTTGCTATTTCTTCCAGCCGTAGTATGTCACTGTTCTGCACTAGACAAGATCACTTGGATGGCCTGTGCCGACATCGAAAGGACAGGACGCATACGAATCGCTTAGGGGTTGACTATTTAGTATTGGGTGAGGTGACGAGATCTTTAGATCCAACATCAGAAACCGTCCCAAGACCACAAAATTCCTCATTTCATACTACAACACCCATCTGGCCCCTTTTCTGGAAGCTGGTTCTAGACGTTTGACGAGTGGGACAGACCAGGCAAATGCCATTGGAGATGTTTCGGGTATTAGTTAGAGCGACGGAATGCTGAGCTTGGGGGTTGATCCCCACGTGGCTCATGACAACACCCTGCCATCTACGTACAAAGTGCAAAGTGCATACTAAGCCCTTGAGTACTCCGTGTTGCTTCGAGACCGTTGTCTCCCCGGTCTCCGTTGGAAATTAGACTTACCTTACTCCGTACTCAACCTTGGCAAGAAGGTTGAATGCCTCCCAGATTAAGGGTCAGGTATAGCCCTGCCTCCTTGCCTGTGTCCGCTGGCTGTCTTAGTTTCAGATCAGTCGCCGAAGGCTGAATGGTATGTACAACAAGGGTGTTGTTTTGCAGATGCCGTCTCCTTCAATGCTAAAACCCTTGGTCATAATCCAGGATCGGTTTCAGCTAATGCAAGCTCTCTAAATTTATCATCCTCTTTGGTCACCACCCGCCACACTCACCAAGCTATTTGGCACTTCGATCGATGGTTCATGACTTGGATTGACAATGCATGGTCAGTCCCACCGAGGAATTATCTATTCTCGCCACCACAACCCTGGGGTTGGCACTAAGACGATAAACGTTGTAGGATGGTGTTCCCAAGGAAGGAATATCTTGTCAATGCTCTCTCTTATGACGGGTGCGTCGGGTAGCAGAGAAAAGGTAGTGTCAGTGATCTACTGCGGCAATATGTAAGGGGTGTCGATCACAGATCGATTGTTGTTTTGGGCTTTAGGGTACAACCTAATACCTCGCCTCTTTCGCGTGGACGCGACTCAATGGTCTTCGAGTGTGACCGAAGCGCGTCTTTTATGGAGAACGAAGTTCAGCTAACTCAAGATGCGCGTGATGACGACTACATATTATTATGGGTACTTCGGAGCTTTTCATGGTCTAAGATGGGAGATAACAGCATTGAAAGCCTTGATTCCCTGCAAAGAAATGCAAGGGAAAAGTCCGTGCATAAACATGGTTTCTATGAATTGACCACCCTTGACAGGATATACTGCACAGTTCATTCATGAATTGGAATTTACAAAGCCTATGGATCACTTTGTTTCCGTTCGCCCCAGCCACCCACAGGGGAATTGAGGGAGACTCCACTGAGCTAGGGGGATTTTGTGTCATGTAGCTCTAGACATACATACATAACATACCGATATAACGTCCGACGGGATGTTATACAGGAGAGTTCATCTGCATCTCACCCAGCTCTGGAGTGGGAACTCGAGAAGATTTTAGGTTTTCTGAGTCATGGAGTATAGCGTGTTATTAAACTTAAGAAGAGGAATTATGAGAACGAAGGATTCCCCAGAGGAAGATGAAGCTAAGATTCAGATTAAGACCGAAAATCAATAGTGGCAAGCGAGTAGTGGCTCCGTATAAATAGTAATCCTGGGTCCCCCTTTTGGCAAGCGGAAGGGCTCCACTTTTGTCCCGTTCGAGCTGAGAAACACCGTGACTTTCTCCTCATTCCAGCTCACACCTGCAGCCACTTCCTTCGAATCATCGTCATTCCCTTCACTAGAGAGACAGTTGGTCCAGGTCTCTCCCTCCCCCCGTCTCAGCTCTGCAGTTATCATCCCACATTCGTTTATTTCCTTTTCTTTTGGGCTACTGCGCCTCTCCGATCTTTTTCCCTTCCCCAGCCTTCTGATTGTGATCTATCAATCCCGGAGCTCACCTTGTAAATCCTCCGTCTTTATCTGCCTCTCTTCCTCCCACATTTGGTCTTTCTTTTTCCCTCTCTTCGCACTGGATCCTGCATCTTAAGTTACTAGTATTAATTACCGACACACTTATTTCCACTGATTCCTCATACAACAACGCCGACCGTCGCCTACCTGCCCAACCGTGACCCCAGCTCGGTATCTCCGGAACACCCCTAAACAACCTCACCTCCGCTGTCGCTTTGGGGTTCTGCAAGTTCGCATCTCAGCATGCTTGCTTATCAGCGGTACACACTCTTTCACATTTCTAAATCAGCTATTCCACCGCCGGCTCCCAAATCGCATTTCTTAACTCCGTCCTTATCCGACCAACATCTGTGAGCTGTTCCGGTGGCCGTTCTCCTCCGACATGGCCACCAGCCGCAGTAATCCTATACCTCCACCTATCTCCCTTCCGGCAGCGAACGTCGCTTCTCATGCCGTACCGCCGACTCCATCGCCGAGTCGACCAACAATCCCCAACTACCAGTCTCTCGATCCGTTACTCGCAAACTTGTCCCCCGAATCTACTCTCGAAGCGCTTACCTCAACAGACGCAGTGCCCAAGAACGAACCCGCATACGATATCCTCTCCAAGAGCATATCCCAAGTCTCGGAGGCGGAGAGAGCTCTTGGAATCCGCGCGGCTGTTGCGGCACAGAATCTAAGCCTATGGTATAAAGAGGTGCAAACGTGGGAATGGCCGAAACGCACGGATGCCCAACTGGGCCAAGGATTTATTCCGCCTTCTACCACGACATCCAATGCTTCAGAGCCAGAATATTTGGGCAGCCTTCCTGCAGAAGTTGTAGCTGAACACGAGAAACGAATCGAGGAGATTCGTGATGGCATGGAAAGTCTAGGTGTCGACGAATTGAAAGAACATGTTCTGAATGCTCATATTCCTTCACGGTCTCGGCCATCGTCATCCAATAGCAATCTTTCCGGACCCCCTTCGTTCAGCTATGTGCAATTAAGTGATTTCACCGCTGTTATCACCGCCACCATCTTGCGCGCTCTCCCACTTCTCTCCCGCCTGAACAGCCTCCTTTCCACGTGGGATGTTCGGCTACTAGTCCTCCGCCAGGTACCGGGACTATTGTGGAGCCTGCGTCTAGCCCAGTCTGAATTGAATTCGGCCTTGGACTTGTTGAAGTCCTCCGTGCCCCCCAACGAGCAGGATGCCTTGTATTCCCTATCAAATTATCATGCCAAACGCACTGCGCTGGAGGTGACGGTTCTTTCGACGGGGCGACGAATGGATCGTATGCTTGATGCGCTAGAGGGCCGGGAAGACTCGTTGCCGGAGAATTGGATTGATGATCTAGAAGCTATCGAATCTGGTTTTGGTAACTGGGTTATGGACGCCGAGAAACAGACAGTTGAGAATGAATGGCGGCGCATGATGGCCAATAAACAGCAAAGCAAAGACCACCCACAAGTGCCAAATCAGCCAACCCCTGTATCGGATGAACATAGAACTCCCGAAGACTTTACCACCCACACCCCCGAGCCTTTCCCCCAAGCTGTACGTCCACCTTTGATGGAAACTATCGCTGAGGAACCCGGAAGCCCGACTGAGGACCAGAAATCTTTTGAGAACATGCTTGGACAACCCGTCGTGACCTCTCAAAGAACCGAACAAGCTCCCACTCGTGGTTCTGATACATCGTCCTCTCTTGATGGCACAGAAGTGGCCAGCGATAGCTCCGAAGCCAGCCAAACCCCGCAAGAGGCCAATACTGTAATTGAACCGCCCGCGACCCCGGAGAGAAGTACTGCGAACACTGTGGTCTTCGATGCATCGCCTTCTAGCGGGAAAGAAAATGCAAATGCCCACCTGCTCCCTGATCAGAAACCCTCATTAGAATCTGTGTGCACTGACGCAGCTAAGGACGTACCTTCCTCTGATCTTAACCGGGAAGAAGTAGCGTTGCCAGACGATAGCTTGCCGAGAAAGACGGAGCCTATGTGTGGACTCCAAAAAGCGATAGAAGATCCGTTTATTGCCCAATATGAGGAAATGGGACAGTTAGAACAGCCAACCAAGGCAAGAGACTGTCCCGGGGATGCCACCTCTCCTGAAGCAGATAGTTCCCCAGCTAGTCCAAGCTCGCAAGCAGAAACCGGGAGTGTCATAATACAGAGACCCAAGGGTGTTGTAAACTCGCCCAAACCGGAAGAAACGGTAGAGCCGCATGGGGACGAAACATCGACAGTCTCAACTACCCCGGAATCCAAGATTGAGGTCTCTGATCAACTACGGCCTGCCTCAACTGAAGAGGCGACAACTTTACCTAGCGTCACTGTGGAACCCGCCCCCACCGATATTGCTGCTTCGATATTGGTTAATCGAGATAGCTCACTTTCTCCTCAAACCAGCAGGCCTTCGTCACCGGTGTCTTCTCGGCCTCCTCCCTCGATGACAAATGACAAAGACACTGCAGCTCCATCTCCAAGGCAACCTTTGGATAGCCCCATCAAGCTTTCTAAAACCAGACCGGGACGTTTTGATTCGGAGCAAACCACCATCTCTCATGGTCGACGAGTATCGGGCGCCTCCACAGATTCTTCTGATTATCCATCACTCGTATCCAGCCCGGACATCCGAGGATTGCGTACCGTTTCGTCGAACGGAACACCTAAGCTTATTGAGACTCCTCCATTATTCCAGACAGACCATCGGCAGTCTGGCCCCATACCGACTAATAGCGAACATACATTGCGAGAAGACCGCTTGCTTCGCTTAGACAGCGAAAAGTCTCCGCCCACGTCTTTGAAACACAACCGGGCTCTTAGCCTTCCACTGCAACGATTTATCAATGAACGGTTGGATATGGACTTCGAGGATGAACCAAACACCGATCTGACCATTCCGACCATTGTCAAGAAAGTCACGGACTCTCCCGTAAGATCAAGTTCCCATAATGATCGCCTGTGCCCACAGTCACATTCGAGCAAACACCGTCCCTCCACCTCATCCACCGGTATTCGCCGTGCTGTTGGCCGGCGTTCTGAGCTTTCTCGGGAAGACCGCACATCTTCAGGGCCCGATAGCGTGACACAGAGACAGCCCAAGGCTTGGGAGCGCAACATGAATACCTCCGTCAAAAATCCGGCACATAAAGCTCCGCTCTCCCAACCACCCGTCCTTTCAACAGCCACCCGTGTCAGGAAGCAGCTGACTGCGCACCCTAGCCTCGAAAGCATTGGGGTATATAAGTCTACGCCTCGTGTATCCGGAGAGACATTGACCAGCACAGTGAATGAGAAGACGGGCTCCCGGCCGTCGACTCCGGGTAGCCAGATAAGAAGGCCAAGGGATCATTTAGACGAGAAAATAAGCTCTATTCTTAATACGCTCCCAACGCGTATCCATTTTGAAGACCGTGAAGCTGATGCATCATCTGCGATATCATCTTTGCCATTGAACGCTAGGGAGCGGTTCCGCTCTATATCCCCGCAAGGGTCAGTGTCACGCAGCGGCACGCCCACCCCATCGTTTACCCTCACCCCTGCTGTTTCTCGTAGGAGATATTCACATGCTCCAGAGGAAAGCTCCGTGAAACTATACCATCTGCACCAAGGTGGTAAAACCGTTCCCACCAAGCTTTTCGTCCGTTCAGTGGGAGAAAATGGTGAGCGCGTGATGGTACGTGTTGGTGGTGGTTGGGCAGATTTGGCCGAATATCTGAGGGAGTTTGCTATCCATCATGGCCGACGACACGTTTCAGACACGCCTCGCGTCGAAGTTCAAGGAATATCATCTCGTGAATCGACGCCAACTTACACGCCACCGGGGAGCAGGCTTACTAGGTCTGGCAATGGACGATGCACGCCGTCCCGACCCCATTCTGTTATCAGTAATCGACCATCGTCCTCACTGGCTGTCCGCAAAACGAGACGGGCTTCGAATGTATCCGATATGACCGATCTCAGAGCAGCAAGCACAGGCGAGACACTGAACTTATCATCTTCCCCCATGTCAACCGTCTCCTCGCGCAGACGGCTCTCAACTTCTTCTAATACCTCTTTCGGTGCGGTTTCAACCATGAGTGACGCTCGATATGGATCTATTCCTCTTGGTTTGGCGGGACCTAAACCGCGATCTAGGTATGCGCCTATGAGCGCAGAAAGTGAAGCGTGGGTGGAAGATGTCCTTGGTCAAGCACGGAGAAGCTCGTCTCTACGACCTTTCACATTTGGGCTATCCCCTCCCGAGAATGATCATACTCCTGGTAAAATTCCCACTTTACTTAAATCTAGAAGCATCAGCGATATTGGGAAAGTCGGCTCGAGCAAGCGAGTTGTCCTCCGCGGGCTTGGCAACCGGTAATCTGGATCCATCGATGCATTGCCCTCTTTTGATTATTACCTCACCTCCCAGCATATGTCCCCTCTCTTACATCTTCCTTCTTATTTACTTTGGTCCACTAGCACTGGCGTTTGCCGTTTATGCGGGTTTGTTTTCATCAGAGGACGGTTCTAAGAAAAGTATCGGGCATTTTGCATTATCGGTGTTTTTTCTTTCGTTTCTTTCTTTTCTATTTTTTCCGGCATTTGAAAAGGGGTTCTGTTTGAATTTGGTTTCCTCTTCCCTGCTCTTCTTCATCCTTTTTGACAGACATCTAGATGGTATCATTCATTGGCATTTTTTGCATTCAAGCAAGCGTTTCGGCTTCTGTTTGTGTTTTCTGTCGTCTGTTCATTGCTTTACAATTCTTTTGCACATATTTAGATACCCTCATATACGGTTCCTACCTTCTTCTATGGCCGCTTTTCATGTTTATATTTTAGAAGAAGAATACATTGGAAATTCAAGAATTTGTTAGACATTGAGAATTCAAATAGCCACTAGTCATTTCGCACCGGTACTCTTTCTCTATAATCTCACCCTCCCGGAGTTGAGTTATGCTGGCTAGATCCACTGCTTCAAGAAATTCACCTCAGGTTACAACAATAAAGAGAATAAGAAAAAACGCTAATACGAACACCATCACTCCAAACCGGCCACACCAAGCTATCTAGCAAGAACTCATAATCCATAAGACCCAATCAACACGGGGTACAAGCACAAACGAAGCCAAGTCTTTGAGCAAGAGCGGTCATACCGAGACTTCTCGTAAAAAGAACATGATAACTGAGCCATAGCCCACCCATCAGAGTTACACAAGTGTAATGCAAACGGATTCTTCAGGATGAATTTTGCGCTTGTTCGCGCCGTTCAGACGGCTGTCGCTTCCAAGGGATATCTTTGCTGAATAGCTCTCTTAGTTCGGGAGAAATTACTTTGGGCTCGCTGTTGTCGACGGGTGGAGCGCTCGGTCCGGAGCTGGTGCCGCTGCTGAACCCGGTGCTTGGGGGTCTTTGGGGCGATTTGCCTTTGTCTGCATCGGCAGGGGACTGGATGGGTTTTCGTTGGTGGGTAGAAGGAGCGGGAAAGTTGTTTTTCTTGTCTATTGCTTGAACGGCTCGTTCGAAGCGACGGAATAGGGATTCGGCGCGGGTGAGGATTGGGATGAGTTCCATTGTGTTGGAGAGTTCGTTAACTGTAGATGTTAGCTTAATAGGCCTTCAGGCCGAGAGAATGAAAAGTACTCACTGTATTTCAGAACCTCATCAAAATGCTTTAAGTGGTCCATGATGACATCTCTGTGCTTCTCTAGGATTGCCAAAGCAATAAAAAGATGGAAGCTGCTGGATAGATAGTCGGTCCACAATGTCTCCCAGAGGCGTAAAACATCCACCCATTCGAATTCGCGCTTGTACCAAACGAGGAGCATGCGGAAGAAGAAGAAAAAGTTTGTGCTGTCGGCAGACTGGAGGTGAAGGTATAGCTGGGGATCCATGAGTTGTACGAGGTGATCTAAAGTCAGAAGTTGGGCACGCATGCCAGACTGGTCACGAAGAAAGTTGCGTTCCTGTTGGATCGGTCAGTAGCTGAAGGTTGTTGATGATAAAGGGTGGAATCGTCACCATTCGGTCCATGAAGCCGACAAATGCCCAAAAGGCCACAGCATCATCCTGCATGACCGCATATATCGGTGCTAACAGGTCGCTCATTCCTTGAACATAGCCCAAGTCAGGGTTATATTCATTATAAGTCAACAACATGTCCTTCATCTGTTCTAGATGAACATTCGTCCCTGTGTCCGCGAATGGCGAGTCAGGGTCTGGGTGAGGAATATCTTCCCCAGCGAAGAGAGGAATTGTGCGGTCGGTACGATGTACATCCTTTTCTGTAATTGGTAGGTTTAGCAACAGAGACGGTACAACAGTGTGTAAAGAAGACATACCAATGCGGTTCCTCTGCTCTTTCCACCACTCATGCTGCTCCTCGGTGGAATGTCCCTCGACCATCGTTTCCCACCAGGCACCCTTTAACCGAATGTACTCATCCCGTTTGGAATTCATAAGAGCTTGACGTTCGTCACGGGAGCTGTCCCATGGATATACGCCGAGAAGGAAAAGCCAAGCTAGCTTTCTAACGCCGTCGTTCGGATCGAGACCCCCATGGAATACTCTCTCTTTCACCTCCTCAACAGTGACCTGCAACCTGCCTGTAGTTGGGTCGAAGAATCCTTCCCATTCTTTTAGAGTCAATGTCTTGCGTCGTTCGTTGATAGACATGGTTCCCGTTTCGAGTTCGAGAATTTCGAAATCACCCACGGAGCTGTTTTCCATCTCGAGGACATCCCGTGCAGTCCATATCCGCTGGTTTCTCTCGCGCTCGCTCTGTTCAGATATGCTCATGGCCCATCGAGCAAGATATAGCCTGGCACTATCAAACTCATCCTGTAAGGTTTGGATCTCAGGTGTCTTCATCAGCCGACGGACTTGTGGAGGAATTCGTGGGTTGTCGGCTATCTCATTCGCTGTCCGTTTTGTAAAAGTCGTGATTTTGCTCAGCTGCTCAAGCACCTTCCATCTAGTCTCCTTAATCGCTTTCATAAAAGGATCCATTCCCGCGTCCCGCTGTCCGCTGCTACCTTGCGCGGACGGACCAGTGGCTTGGTCCTGGGCTCTGGTTACTGTTCCATCGGCCGTCAACGGCCGCCCAAACGATATGCGATCTTCTTCGGATGGGTTGATCAAATATACACTATTATCGACGGCTGAACGCTGCACCTCCACATACTTCCGAAGCCACCTTAGGACCTCGTCGCCACCCCAGAACAGACTGCCATCCTCACCGAAGGGGTCAAACGATTCCTGAGTCCTCTTCCTTTTTTGTAGGATGGTTGATTCGCATTCGCTGTCATGGAAAAACAGTGCGGGGAAGCTATCACCTGCACGCGTATTGATCACAAGGCTTCCAAACCACCATCGATGCTCGGGGGTCGTACAAGCAACGAGTAGATCTCCGAGAGTGGTACGGCAAAGGCATAGAGCCCTATTGGGTCTTTATGAGTGGTGGTTGTCGGCAAAGGGGGTACCAAATATTTCTGTCGCGGCGGAGAGGAGTCGCCCGCAAGATCGACTTTGACATAGGTGCTATAGGCGTCGCCTAGCGAGGATTCCGGAGCCCAGGCAAGCAGGTATGATGATAGCTCGGCCTTTCTTGAAGAGTTGGTCGATGCAATCGCATTGGAGGCACCATGAGCCGGCTTTTGTTGAATGAGGGCGATGAACCCGGGAATATTATCTTTGGAGGAAGGGGTGGGGTGAACGTAGACCTGCAATTATCGGTATAGATCAGAACCGTCAGCGATTAATTGATATTGATTAGAACATTCTTCGATCGTCTAACCTTGCTTTTGGAAAAGAGTAGTTTGACCCCTCTCCCAGTTGTTGCATGTGAGATGGTATTGTAATCGTCCTCCTCGTCGTCGCTGACGTCGTAGTAAGAAGCCGTGGGCGACGGCGGCGAAGGTGGCGGAGTGTACTGGACTCCCTTGCGCGCCATTTCTCTTTTTGCGTCTTTATTTCAAGACTACAGATGGATGATGTTTTGGTTGAAATGATTCAGGAAAGATAGTTCATCCTTCTCCGTTATCCAAGTAGTTATTTGTTGGTAGAAATCCCCCGTTTGGTAGGTGGATTGCGGGGAGAAATGAAGAAAGGCGCAAACGTCACGAAACCAATGGAGATCCACCTGATCACGGCTGCATGTGATCTCCACTCATGAAACTGCCAATGATCGTATGTTTATATGTCAAGATCACTCATTGCTTAGCAGTATGCTTTCTTTTTTTTCGGTCTCTCTTCTTCTCCTGCCGCGAAAAAGAAGATAAGTTGAACAGAATAGCAAACAAGGTATGCGGCATGTGGCTGGTTCCGTAGATCATATTTATACTAATTTATCGATAACGGTCAGCATCGCCACAATCAAAATGACTGCTGCCTGGCTAAAATCGCCCACGCTGGAAGAACATTAATCCTCCTTTTTGTTTGATTTTGATAGATCCGAGGAGAAAAAGTACGTCTCATGAATCTAGGACACTGTATTGGGATTATCAGGCTATGGTTGGGCCTTGACCGTTGGTCAAAGGTATCCATATCGTGGAGGATGGACTAGATTCTGTTCATACCACAGGCCTCTGGAAACCCAGGATATTACAAGATGACCCAGTCGGCAACCCGAATTCAAGTTGGATAAACCCCCGAGTCCACTGCCCCACAGGTTGAACCCTTCGTCCCGTCCGAACCAGCTCTTGGTTATACTATGCCGGGCCGGGTCTGATTCCCTTAGTTAAGTTACTCTGCCTGCAACAACAGGGAGACACGGGTTCTGAATTGTCAGAATGGGATTACTACTCACGTCTTACGTTAGGATCGATGCTATGTAGATCACTGTGATGCATCAGGACGAAGCTGAGGTTCATGTAACCGTTTAGAAATTGATGGCCGCTCAAGCCTTACAAGTGAACTAGACTATGAATGTGTTCGAGACAAGTTTATCCTCTTATAAAGCTATTAAGATATAGTGGATCTTTTCTATTAATACTCGAAGCTCAGAAAATAAATGGATTGGACTGTAACTATTTATATTGATAGGTGTTGGGTTCTCCTCATTCCGGGTTCAAAGTACATGTAGGTCTATGAGTATCGTCCAGGCCTGAATGTTACGTTACTTCGTAGGTCCAAAGCTACAGACAGATCATCTGTTCAAGTCATCCATCATTGGCCACTCTCCAAACCATTAGGTAAGGAGCGAACCCTACCTCGGTGCCAGGTGACTACCACTGCGGAGGCATTGATGACAACAATAGCTTCATGACACATCACTAATGCTTTGATGCTGTCTAGTAGACGTCTGCCTGCTCTCACTATCTAGTTAATATGATAATCAATGGTGTTGGTACGTTGTGTAGCCAACACCAACCCGTCTTATACAAAGCCTCGCTCATCAACGCGGACTACGGTGCTCGACTACGACTTGGGTCGAATGTACTTATGTAGAATTAGAAACACAGAAGTAGAGAAGAGAAATGTATTTGGAGTTGACCACATCTCCGAAGGCTGTAAGTTCCCAATCAAGCCGTATACCTGTAGGAGTACAACACACAATGCAGCCGCGGCCGCGGGATTCGGATCCCATAGCCCATTCAGGCAACGATACGCCTGTCCAATTGAAGAGCAAAGAGATGTACTTCTGCGCAGATCAATCAGTCACACTGAAACAATGGGAGAATATATAAGGCAGGATAATTATGGCTCCCGTTTTGCAAGTACACCTGTTCTCCTTATCACCGGTACTAATATCGAAACTGTGCAAAATGTCCGAACTTGCACGCACTTTGCCAGCTTCCTGGTACTGCAGCCCTCCGCTCTACCAACTTGAGCGAAGAGCTGTTTTCATGAAGGCATGCCAGTCGGCCTTGGATCTGTGAGGTTTGAAAGTGGCTAATAGACCCAGTCTTGGTATCTGCTTGGCCCTGTGACGAAGTTTCAGAACGTCGGGGAAAAGATCGAGTATGAGATTGCACAACAGCCTATTTTGGCTTTCAGAGTCTCTGGCACTTCTCCCCTACCTGAACCAGGCGAGTTCCAGGTGGTTTGTGCGAAAACAGTACGTCTCGTGTCCTTTACTTTAGATGCATACCTAGACAGAAAATTCCAGGAGGGGTCTGTATTGCCTGATAGTATGTGTTGGTCTGACGATAACAGGAAAATCCACTACGGTACCATATAACCCCAACAGGCCTCATCTTCACGACCATCTCAGATGAAGCGCCCAGCTTTCATGAGTATTTTCCGGACCTGGAACCATTGTTGCAGAGAGTGGACTTTACGAGACTACCCTACAGACACAGTATCAAATACGAAGGCCGATTCAACTGGAAGACCATGTAATCTCCCTGATAGTACATATCAAGTGAATTCGTGCTTATATCGTAACCGCAGGGTCGACGGATATCAAGAATGCCTTCATTGCCAATACACTCATCCATCGTTCTCCATTTACTACCCGCCGACCTTCTACACCGTTCACAATCACCAGAACTTTTCGCAGCACATTGCAGACCCCAATAAGCCAGACGATGGCCTGTTTCTCTATTTCTTCCCGAACTGTACATTGAATGTGTACGGTGGTGGGATGTCTTCGTTCCGGGTTTGCCCAACAGAAGCTCCAAATATCACCCGGATGGAATTCGACTACTACCACATGGAATCCGGCGAGAAGTTCAAAGAATACTACAAGTTCGTCCGTCAGGTAGCTATGGAGGACTATGAGCTCTGCGAGAAAGCCCAGGATAACCTTGGCAGAGGGGTTTACAGTGAGGGGATTTTGAATCCGGAGAAAGAGAACGGTGTCTCCTGTGAGTACGACAGAAGTCCGAAGCTTCTAACCCCACCGCTAACATCTCCCAGTCTACCAGGACCGAGTATTTGAGTTGGTGTGCCAGCAGCATGCTGCAGATCAGATAGCGGAGGAGAGTGTCACCTCAGTGACACAAGAGCAAGACAAGGGACTGGAGCGAATTACGGCGGCCGCATGAGAATAGCTAGCTGCAGGCGGAGCCCATTCTGGCAACTTTATGCTTATGATTACCTGGATTATCCTTTGTTGCGAAAGTCAAAGCTCTACGAGATGATCTATTGGTAGTTATACTTGATCAAATTCGGAGATTATAAATGCCATGTAACCTCACCTTCGAGGAAGAGCAAAACCATGCGTTAACCGAGATCATATGTCACATTCAGAGAACCTGTTACTTCAAGTGCACCTGGAAAATTCATCCTAATCTGGCAATCTTATGAGCGGTCAACACGATTTGCTGGCTAACCTCGGAGGATGTGATAACAGATATGCAGGCATGCGGAGGTGAAGGCCAACGATCATCGAGCCCTGAATCATGTAAGTCCTCTTTGTGCTCGAGAAAATCCTTTTATAGGTATCCCCCAGTTCCTGGAAGCTCCGGGGACAAATTTTCGTTTAGAAGGCTCTCAGATACTTTAAACTGGAATCACCATGGAAGCGTTCACCTTCCCGACAGCACCCACGTTACTTGCACTGCTAGCTGGGATTGCTTTTCTATATAGGTTCTGGCCACACACCTCAACTTCAACCTCTAAGCTAGTGAATCTTGGGAAATACGAGACCCTCGATACTAATACAGATGTCACGGAAGAGGAAAATCGTGGAGTCTCCAAAGAATCAGATTTCCCAGCAGGCTGGTGGGTGAGCAAGGATGTTTTCGAGCTTGAGAAGCGTGCAATATTCAGTAAGGTAAGTTATATATATCACTGGACCACTGCGTTAAAAGATGCACTCTCTAATTTAACATCTAGACATGGCTGTGTCTCTCCCATCGCAGTCGCTTTGCGAAGGCTGGTGACTATCAGTCTTACGAGGTGGCCGGGTTTCCCATCTTTCTGATCTTAGGGAAAGATGGGAAAGTTAGGGCTTTTCACAATGTCTGTCGTCACAGAGCGTACACAGTCACAAAGAAGGAATGTGGGTCTTCTGCGGTGCTTGGTTGTCGATATCATGGCTGGAGTTATAACACCTACGGCGAGCTGACCAAGGCTCCTCATTTCGATGATATTCCCGGCTTTGACAGATCACAGAACAGCCTATTCGCCATCCATACGGTTACGAACGGAGCCGGATTTGTGTTCGTTAACCTTGAGGCTAGCCCAAGGATCTCGCCGGCCGACACAAGTCTTTTAGATGCCTTTGCGAACAACAATAGACTGGACTCTCAATCCACCTGGGTAGCAGGGCAAACAATCAAGGCAGATTTCAATTGGAAAATAGCGCGTGAGTTAATCTGTTGCTCCTTTACTTGGTCTGGTTTCTGACTTCCTAGCAGTCAGGTCAAAGCAATTGATCGACATTGTCGAATTGGAGAATACAATTGGGCATAAAAGCTATATATCCCAAGTGATCAGTATCTTGGGCCGCTCTAGGGCGAAATCAGAACACTTTTCGCTCTTCCCCAATACCTCCTTCCAGTCCATCCAGTCCTCTGGATGGTGGTATGCACTGAACTTCTTACCAGTATCTGAACAAACAACGGCAATCCGATACGATCTGTACTGCTCGAAAGATGTTGGTTCCCATTCCCAGGTGGTTGCGGAGAAATTGAGCAGACTTTTGGAGGAGAAAGCCCGGGAACTAGAAACAGAATATCAAGGGTACGTTCGGGACACAGCGTTAGGATAAAACGCGAACTGACTACTGACCGGGCCTGAAGGTCATTCGCATCCGTGCCCCCAAGCCTTCACACTGAAGCAATAGGTAATATCTTCTCCTTTCCTTCTTTTTGTGTGAGATTTTGTGTTCTCCATGAGCGCTGAATCAATTCCGCCTGGGTAGAATCTCAGAAGAATATTCTCGACTGCCTCGAAGCTCATATCAAGCTGGAAAAGGCGCAGGGAGCCGAAGTGTTTCCCGCGATGAGAAAGCAACGGGAGAATTCCAGGTTTCAGCAAGCTGAACTACGTTAGTACCGTCTAACTCGTATATGTGTGCGTTCCGAGTGTGCTAATAATCTATGGCAGTCTGCAAGGAACTCGACTGTACGAGTGAGCTCCGAGGAAAAAATCTCGCATGGTAAACTGGTGTATGTTTCGAGATTTTCTTTATTCTTGTTGATTGATTTTTCATTGTTCGCGTCCGCATTTCCGCAGGTTAGATAGACGTGTAGCGTCCGTACCGAACGGATCAGTGGAATCTTGGCACCGTTGTTGCAATCTGGTCAATAGATAGCTCATTAATTAATCATTTCGAGTTGTCTCAGACTCACACCTTGCTTCTACTCTTACCGAGGGGGACTGAAAAGAAGCAAAGCCTCGAGAAAAACTCTCGGTGGATCGTACCGATCAGATCAGCATCGAGTCAGTGATCGGACGTATAAACCTTCCTCTTTCTCTCAACTGAAATTGCGCCGTTAGAACGATCACCAACAACTTCCACTCCACATCCCCAGCGCGTCGGACCGCACAGGGCGGACCCTCGTATCCTTAAATATATCGGGGTATCTCTGCGGAACTGGCAGTTGCAAATCAATCCTTCAGACTTTTTCTTTTCTTTTCTTTTCTTCAATTCTGCTTGGCCCGAACGTCCAGGTTTCCGCCAACGACGTTATCGAGCCAATCAAATTGCCCAAGGCGAGTAAGGCTGTGTTCTGCCCCCGTTTCGGCAATTCGTATTTAGCGTACGTCGCTTGACGATTAACGGTGATGATCGATCATGGCGGGGTTTACGAGGAGGAAATCCAGCTAACTTTTCGTATTTACCAAGCAGTTAGTTGGCTGTTGGCCCTTGTCACTGAACCGTCCGTCATTATGGCGCTGCCGCCCATCGCGAAGGCCACTCTACAAGCTGCGCTGATTAATGCCGGGTCGAACGTCCTGGCGCAGAGCATTCAGTCATATAGAAACGAGGTAAGTAGGATACGCATGTAACATGGGGGCGGGGGGGGCAGAGGGTAAGACACCTTAGCAAATTGGCCCCCAATATCCCGGATTAATTCATGCATGCGGCTAGTAAGGCAAAAAGAAAAAAATTATTAATAAAAGAAAGAAAAAAAATGGGCTGACGGCTTGATTCGCTAATCGGCGCCATGGTCGGAGTTATATGCATTGAATGATTATGCATCAGCACTCTCTCCATGATGCGCGCCGGATAGCTTCAAACACTTCCATAGAAACCGTTCGAACTGGATCTGCAAACACTGTTTCAATTCACAACATGTGCCTTTGTGATGTCCCCCATGACCTTCCTGTGGTTGGAGGGTCTGGAATCGGTCCTTCCAGGCCATCCTAACGAGTCGGAGGCCGCCGTCACCAAGTCAAAGACCGAAAAGGCGGACCAGCCCAAACAAAAGAAGTTAAATGTCAAGAACACGGTGGCAAAGATCGTGATCGACCAGGTCGTCGGTGGCGCCTGGGCTACCGTGCTTTTCAGTTTGACCATGGGCCTGCTGCGCGGGCAGGAATATGATGTCCTGATGGCCCAGATTCGCAATGTCCGTATATCCCGATAGCACTCACTCCCATGGCTTGGTGGAGACATTGCTTTTGGCTGACTGACTTACGCTGGTGGGATAGGATTTCTGGCCCCTCCTGATCGCGGGATTCAAGCTATGGCCATTGGTCTCCATTCTGAATTTTACTGTGGTCCCAGCAGAGAAGCGACTGTTGGTTGGGAGTGTCTTCGGGGTCGTCTGGGCTGTTTACTTGAGCTTGATGTCGGGGTAACTGGGCGGCGGCGCTGGGGCGTTTTGCCGTGGGATCCGACGCATTGTGTGCCGGATCCGAATATACTAGTAGGCGAAGTGGTATCTACTTTTTGGGAAATGGCTGGGATGACCAGATAATAAATGTGTTGGTGGAACCCATCTGCGACTAAAGAATTGGGGCAGGAAAGACGTAATAGTGTGAAGGGGCCGAGCGGGGTTGAGGATGATCATGATAGTAGATAGTGAGCGACACCTTGCTGCATCGTCGGCAGCTCACCGAAATGAACAGAATCGACTAGGTTGAGCGAAATTGCCACGTTTTTTGTATCTGCCCCCCCAACGCTAGTACTATCTCAATCGAGGGAGTGAGCCAGTCAGACATGGGAAGAAAGACATGTCTCGGGAGAAACTCAAGAAACTTAACTTCCAGCCAACAAAGAAAGGGAAAAGCAAGATAGTCTGGACGATCAGGATCAGGAATTATCTCACCCCACATGAAACCGCCTCCCTTGAGCGGGCCCTGACATGTACCATCATCAAGGGCGCTGCCGTACAACTTGCTATGTGAACACATACCGGAGCGGAACATAACTCCCGAGTCAGCCTACGAGGCACAGCTCTCCCGTTGCGACATGCCTTCGAGTAAGCAGATCAGCTTGCTCCGAACATTCCTCGGGAACATCCAAATGGCGGGAAGGGAACAGGTGGGCAAGGCGTACAACAAAGAACCAGTCGGGCTGATCTTTACCCACATTCTACCTTCTTTGCTATCTGATGTGGTTCGGGCCTGGGGTTTGCCCACAAACCCTAACTCAAATGATGGGTGGAGGACTCGGTGAAGGGAGACTCGAGAAGGCCAAGAGTTTGACATTCAATAGTCGTCGTCTACAGTAGTACAAGAAAGTGTTTAATAAAGTGTTTAATAAAGTGTTTAATAAAGTGTTTAATTACTGTACAGCAGGAATGGCCCAGGGCATGGATATGGGACGCGAATTCCCAGCGTAAGCTGCATGAGACAGGGCCGGACGAAAGACCCCGGTCACATTACAGATTACCACTATTCTGCACGAGGTTACGCTGTTTTCACCCTAGAAGCTCATGAAAAAAAAGGGAGGGAAAAAGAAAAGAAAGACGAGTTGCCTGTTTGGGGGAATCCAGTGAATGAAAAAGAACGTGTTTCCCTTGCATGAGATTCAAAAGATTATTGGAGGCTGGTGGGTAGTCATTTGGGTCAGCAAGAGTCAAGCATGATCATAACTGATTAACCCTCTCAAATTGCACTCATTACCGACATTTAGAAAAATCAAGAGGGGAAAGAGTAAAATTACTATTAACAGAAACAATATCGGAATAAATTAATTGCTATTGCATGAATGATAAGACCATTTCCCTGGGCCAGTGTGAAGAAAACTGCATGGTCGGCGGCGTGGCACAGCCCCGGCGAGAGGATCAACAACCTATCCAAGGCAAACTTACTCTGTATCTTGATTTAGCACTCGCTCTGTTTGATACGAACTGGTATGCCGATCCATTGCCATGCAACTTCTCCTGGGAAGAGGGGGTTGGGGATGAGAAGGAATTGCTCATCATCGTGGACGGAGACTCATGCCATGGCAAAAGGGTTACTAAGTTTATCGTCAGACAAAGAAGATTAATGTCTTCTTTTATAATTCTTTCTGGGGGGAGACTCTCCGACCGAACCTTGAAGTTGAGTGAGACCGAAATAGATCGTGTACGGTACGGGTGCTGTATCGTAACCCACTCGTGGATGTGTCACTCGTGACCCTCCGAAGGAAAAAAGACTAAAATCTCTCCGTGCATTAGCCCGAGTGGACCCAAATTAGTCCCCCCCATTCGCATTCTCCAAAATGTACATGGGCGTCAGCCCAGTGGCTCAAGTGTCATTCCAGGTACCCCCATAATTAGATCACATCATGTCCCTCTCTGCAGCGAAGACGGTTGAACTGCATTCCCAGAGAAAGTTCAAACCTATTCCTATTACAATTGTGGACCATGGGGCACACTTTGACCCAAACCCAAGGCGATAAGACGCTATAGTGCCACATTCGATATAAGTTCGCACCACCTCATCTCTCCCCATCTCTCCCGCAAATTGTTCGTAACTCCCTCCCTAGGGTCACTTTTTGTCCGTTTCCACCCCCGCGAGCTAACTGGTTCGTTGGATCTTCTCCTGCGCAACCGACGCTTCCACGGCCAGGATTGTGCTAACCAATCCCCCGCAGGTGGCCTCCGCGGGTCTTTGTCTACGCTTGTCACAAGGTTCTTCAAGGTCAATTAGCCATTGAAGCCCTGACAAAGAATCGGTTCGCGTGTGATTACCTGCATTGCATTATCTCCGTCCATTTGCATCCCCTTCTGGGACCCGGGACGTTTTGCAGACATCGACTTCAGGTTGGACATAGAGGGGGAAATCCTTTGACCTGGACTGGCCATAGACTGGACTCACCATCTGTTGCGACGCCGGCGGAACCGCGATTGGTAAGATTGTCATTCTTGGAAACAACAAAGACGATTTCCAAGTGTCCAACGAAGACCAATGTACTGGGTGGGAAAAGACCCGGGAGTCTGGTTTGTCTGATTGTACCATCGCCACGGGAGCATCAGACACGCCAAGTCGTTTTAAGGAGGGGAAAAACACGACCTACACCTTCAAAGCCTCTATCCAACTATTCATAGACCTTCACAAGATGGGCATACTAAGCTCGCAAGGTGGACTTGCCTCGTCTGCCCCAGTGTCGTACAAGACACCGATGGGAGCGAAGCGCGAGGGTTTCGCAAGTGATTATGCGAATAACGTGTGCTGGTTTGATGCAGAAGACGACCTCGAGAGCGACGATGGATCCATTTCCCCCGTGTCGGATCCACGACAGGATCGGAAGTCAGGAAACCACTGGGCTCGCTTTTTCCCCGAACTCTCATCGCATTTCTCACTCGTGTCCCCGATAAGCACTATGACGCCAGCGACATCCTTATCTCTGTCATCCGCCGAAACACAGCATTCCACTGATCCCAGACCCCACGCTGACGATGTAGGACAGAAAGCTGGTTCCTGCTCATCGTCCTCGCCGGAGGGTTCCTCGTGCTACAGTCGGAGATCATCGGCAACAAGTCTGGACTCTGGATCCCCAGGGTCCACTAAAAAGCGGGCTGATACATTTTCGATAGTCTCCCCCGCTGACGCAGGAGTCTTTGACGATCTGGCGTCAATCCGACGGCCGCCTTCTCGCCCCTTGGTAAAAAAGCTCTCTGCAGCCGAGTTGAGGAATAAGCCTCTCCCACTTGAGCCCGCCATTCGGCTGACCCCACTCTCTGTCCGTCATAAAGATCCACCTAAAATCCGTACCTCTACATCCGCTAGCCCTCAGAGTGGGAAGTCAAGGCTCTCAGTGGCAGCAGAGGACTTGGAGAACACTCTCTCCGGTCTTAGAGCAGATTCACCTACAGTCCCTTTACACTTACTGAACGAGCCACTACAAATTAGCAGAGGCAAAATGGAGATGATCCCGTCGCGCCCAGCACCGCAACCGCCAACCGATATGCGACCAAAACGAAAAGTTGAGGCACGTGAAGACGAAAGGGCAAGGAAGAACAAGGGGGCTTTCAATTTCCATTTGTCAGGTTTTAGCAGAAAATACAGCCATCTACATGCCCGGTCGTGGAGCAGCCCGAATATGAGATCGGAGGCGGGGTCTTCAGCCGTTCGTATCCCGGAGGACTCCGACTGCAAAGAATGTAAGAGCAAAGACGACATGGCAGGCCTGCCAAGCTTCCCAAATCCGAACCAGATCTTGGAGCCTCTATCCCAGTCCATTGAAAGGGAGCTGCGGATGCAGCTTCCGCGGCTGCAGGTAAAGGGGACCAAAACCGCCTGCTCACCAATCCAGGAAATAGAGCCCAGTACAGAAAAGGAAGCCATTCAACGTCCCGAGAAGGTGGAGGCTTCGCAACGCGAAAAATCACCGGATCAAGTTATTTTCAAGGAGAAGTTTTTTGTGTCTAAAAGCAAGATAACGGTTTCCGTTTCTAATAATGTGTCTCACCAAATGGAGATAGCGGAGCTCCCGGAAATGGTCTATGAGCTCGACGGTGGCGCCCCGGAACCTCACAGGAAGCCTACAATCTCAGATTACCTGCCTACCTTACACATGCCTGGGAACCTGCCTGACAAGGTGGTCCTTGCCTTTTTACGCGAAGTGGGCTCGCTTGACGATCTTTTTCGTCTTGCCATCATTTCCAGACAGTTCTATCGTGTTTTCAAAGATCATGAATTAGAACTTATCAAAGGCGCTGTCTTCACAATGTCCCCTCCCGCGTGGGAGCTACGCGAAATGAGCCCGCCATGGAGTACCGAATGGCAGATCCTGGTGGACCCCGACAGCCCAGTCCCAGAATACACCCCTGCTCTGTATCTTCAGCGCTATGCTCAAGATATCTATACGCTTGCTCAACTCAAATTGCTCATTTTAACTCGGTGTGAAACGTTTCTGCGTCAGGAAACGATCCGCGGTCTTACAGGCAAAGATGATGCGTGCGCCAAGGAAATTGATGATGCCCTTTGGAGAATCTGGACGTTTTGTCGTATTTTTGGTAGTGGGAAGAGCCGAGAGGGTGATATCGTGGGTCAGGTGGACTGGCTGAACGGGGGTGCTATGGCTGTGAGCGGCCGCAAGCATGGGGCCACGGCGTCGGTTACTGAGCCATTCGGCATGTATGACATTCTGTTCGAACCTCCGACAGGGTTTGGGCATGGTAACAAAGGCGGACTATCAAACGATCAACTGTACTATATGACTGAGATGTGGACCTGCTTGGGCGTGCTCCTTCAACCAATCCATGGAAGATGCAAAGAAGCCCGTGAAGCCGGCATATTTGCAGGTCATCGAGTAACAGAACAGGACACTGCCAGGGCGGCAGCTGTGCTAGGTCAGTACCTTTTTTTTTTTCTCTCCTGCCATTTTCCTCTCAGTCAAGCTAATATGTCGAATAGAGGAATGGACGTACTATGTTCTCACACTTGGCCCTTCAGCAGTTCTGAACATGGCCTCGACCGGCCCCGGAGGCTGTGCGGCGACTTTGAGAAGAGCCCAGTCTATCGGTTTGACCAAGTGGGAGTCTTCCGAGTCTGGGGTCAGTCGCTCGGCCTTTCTCAAGGAAGCGGTTTCGAAAGTCTATAGGTCACGGTGTGAAAGTCCATGTCAATGGTCTCCACGAACGTCAGAGGACACTTCCCCTTCTTCTAATGACACCGGCTCGCCGGCAAGTGCCAATGCAAGAGCGGCCCAGCTTCAACTAGAAAATGAACGTCGGAGACAGGCAGCCTACGCTGACCAGCTACGAACCCAACCGAGACGGCCAATGAACGCAGGCCCCCACTCATTTTCAGACGAACGCCCCATCTCCAAATATTCCTTCATCATGAGCCGCCTTGAAGGTGAGCCATACGAGCAACGTCCACCAATGCCTGCACCACCCACGATGGCGTCTTACGTTGCGTATTGTGGACCGTCGAGCAGTCAATATGCAGTCAAGTCCCGACCGCCCCTTGCCCCGTACCAACAACCTCAGGTCCGCGATCCTGTGGATCAGGCTATTGACATGATGGTGCGGGAGCTGGGTTTCCAAGAAGAAGACGCCAAATGGGCGCTGAAAGTTACCGATAGCGGCGAAGGGATCAACGCGAATGCTGCCGTATCTCTTCTTATCAGAGAGCACCAGAATTACCAACGCAACAACAATGTCGTTCCTATGCGAGCATATCGCAGTAACAGTATCTTATCCTCGGTCATCGCCAGCCCAGAATCCATCAATTCTGTCTGGAGATGGGCCTGAAAGCCAATACTCGCCATGACGAAGCATATCGCTTGTACACTCATTTCGATTTTATTTTCATTGGGTTGTATGACTTACAACGAACTCTATCACGCCGTTTTGAAAGTAGAGGCGCCGTGCGCCGTTTTTGATTATGAAACATTTGTTCCCCCACATCGCTTCAGCCCGAGCTTGTCGCTGTACCAGATTATGATACCCACTATGTACGATCCTTTCTTACGTCTCTTTCCTGCATATCAAAGATGTTGTATATTAGATACCTCAAGAGAACATTGATAAACTGCCTTTCGATGCCGTTTGGTTTTCACCATTGATACAATTAGAATGGAGTATTTTCATGACTTATATTAGCGTACATTCTGACCATCCACAAAATAGAAACACAGTTCATTACAAAGATGACATTGACTAAAAAACACCAATTTTGCCTTTCAACACAGCCCTCCGTGCCCCCAAGCAAGCACGAAAGCAATTAGAATGCAACCGTCGAGGCAAGACCATCCAGCTCACGCTTGTAGTTCCGGTGCTGACTGATCTGGTAGAAGAAAGTGCTGATGAAATCCTTCGCGTCCTTGACAATCTGGATGCCTTCCTTGAAGCTCTCGGGTTTCTGGATCTTCCCAGCCGTGACAATACCATACCACTCAACCGGCTGGGGATGGTCGGGCGTAGCGACCTTCACATGAAGTGAGGAGCCCAGCGCCTCCTTGATGAAAGCCGCCGCTTCGCCAGTGGCGCCCAGAGCCTTGAGGTGACCGAACGTCTCGATGATCCAGTACCGGATCTGGCCATTGGCCTTGAGGCTTTCGATGTGCGGACCGCCAGGGATGAAGGTGGCGTCGAACATCGTGGAGCGCTGTCCATCATACTGGTGGTCGGGGATCACGCCCTTGGAGGACGACTTGTCCTCGCCATCGGCATAGATAGGCGACCGTTTGGTGCCAATGACGAACGGCAAGGCTCCTGCCGCCTTGATCGCGCCCTTGAGCCCGTTGAAGGCGACGGGGTCGTAGCCGTCGCCGATAATGATGGCAACCCGGCGACTGGCGATCGTCGGCTGCTTGCCCGGGAACTCGGTCTGCGAGAGGTGCTTGCTGCGCTTTCCGTGGTTCGGGCGGAGCGCCTTGTCGGGAACGGGGGCGCCGACGAGCTCGGCGACCTGCTGGGCGAGAGGGAGATCGATCTCGGCGAGACGGTGGCCGGCGAGACGCTCGTAGACGAGGGGGTCGTCGCAATGGTCCAGTTCGAAGCCGAGGGCTTTCTTGACGTGGACCTTCTCGTGCTCGGAGAGCGAGTTGTAGAAGAGCTGGGCCTGGTTGTGGTGCTCGCGGAACTTGGGGCTCAGGCCGCGCTTCTTGATCCCGTTCAGCTTCGCGGGGTAGGACGCGAAGCCACCCTGTTCGACTGGGGCAGGGCGTCCGGCCTCGAACCGGTTCGGCCAGTAGTTGACGGTGCCCTGGGCGATGCGGTGGCGTTTGGCGCCGTCTCGGTTGTGGTTCAGGACGGGGCAGACGGGGCGGTTGATGGGGATTTCTTCCCAGTTGATGCCCAGTCGACTGATCTGGGTGTCGAAGTAGGAGAAGTTCCGGCCCTGGAGGAGCGGGTCGTCACTGAAGTCAATGCCGGGGACGATGTGGCTGGTGCAGAATGCGACTTGCTCGGTTTGAGGGAAGAACTCATCGACGTTGCGGTTCAGTTCCAGTTCACCGATGACGCGCAGGGGCACGAGTTCCTCGGGCCAGATCTTTGTCGCGTCGAAGATGTCAAACTCGAAGTCATCCTGCTTCTCCTCGGGGATGACTTGGATAGCGAAGTCCCATTTCGGGTATGCGCCGTTATCAATGGCCTCCATGAGGTCTTTGCGATGGAAATCGGGATCCTGGCCGGCCAATTTCAGGGCTTCGTCCCATACCAATGAGTGCACTCCCAAGTGGGGGATGAAGTGGAATTTCACGAAATGGCGCTTTCCTTCCTTGTTGATGAGACTGAATGTGTTGACTCCGAAGCCCTGCATCATACGGTATGACCGAGGAATGGCCCGATCAGACATGGCCCACATGAACATATGGGTGGCTTCCGGGTGAAGATAGACAAAGTCCCAGAAGTTGTTATGAGCCGTTTGGGCCTGAGGCACTTCGTTATGCGGCTCGGGCTTGACGGCATGGACTATTGCTGTTAGTTTTTGAATCGTCCACTCCCTTCGCTGGGAAGAGATACGTACCGAAATCCGGGAATTTGATCGCATCTTGGATGAAGAAGACGGGGATGTTGTTTCCAACGAGATCCCAGTTTCCCTCGTCGGTGTAGAATTTCACGGCAAACCCACGAACGTCACGGACCGTGTCGGCACTTCCCTTACTACCTTGGACCGTGGAGAAACGAAGGAAAACCGGAGTGTTCCGGGAGGTATCCGTCAAAATACCAGCATAAGATACATCCTCAGCGCTCTCGTGGAGCTTGAAGTTTCCAAATGCAGCGGTGCCACGCGCATGGACGACTCTCTCGGGAATGCGCTCATGGTCGAAGCGATGGATCTGGATTGCGGTTAACCCAAAGATCTACCTCTGATTGACGCCGATCCGGGGAATCGTACCTTCTCTCGTGCAATCTGGTCCTCCAGCATCATCGGCCCGGTGTGGTTATCATTCACCTCCTTCAGCCAGTGGTCCGTATCGCTGATGCGCACGCCATGGTCGGTGGTCAGTGGCTCCTTGCTGGACTGTACATCGTGGGTGTCGGGTGCTAGATCAACTAGCTTCTTATCCTTTGAAGCGGCGCCCTGCACTGCTTCCTGGACCTTGTGGAGGCCCCCAGCCACAATGTTGGCCATGATTGGGGTTGAATGGATTAGGGATGATGAGATAGCTAGTCAGAGAGAGATTAAGGTGGGATACAGAGTATGTTCATGAAACAGTCATTACTTGCATGATAGAAAGACGTATATCATGGCCATGTATAGTACAGTCATCTTCAGCTTCTTATAACTTGTCCGTAATGCCAAATTTCTGAATGGATGTTAGGGTTGGGTCCGGCACGTCAAAATGACGTCGCAGGGTTGATGAACGTCACGTTGACATCGAACTGGATTTTTCTTTTTTATTCACCTTCTGATATACAAAAGATGAGTAATGATTCTTTGGAACCATGGACATTGGCTAGATTAGATTCTTGATTTAGTGCTCTGAAAATATTGTTTTCTATTCCTTGTTTATGAACTTCGTCATCGGGAGAGTCGAGACTCTCTTATCGGGCTTATCGAGAGAGTACATAGTACTCTGGACTCCCTGGACCGAGGTCGATCGTCTCCACCAGAGCTCTGCCAGGGAATTTGCAACTCCCCGGCCCTTACTCGAATCGTCGTAAGTACGGTATACGAAGGAGGACTGGGCTTGGGCCTCTGGGGGGTTGTCCGGAGTTTACTGCCAGTAATTATCAATTCGACGCCCTTGATTGTTGGGTTATTGAATATAATTTATAGGAACAGGGCCAAAGGCTAATTAATTAATTGATCTTACCCTAAGTGGCATTCTTATTTTCACTGGGAATGTTCCATTGTACTCGTTTTACGCTCGCTGGTCTCTTGATATCAAAGTTATTGTTATATTCAGGGCTCAGGGCTACTCTCAATATTGATTTCTTGCAATTCACGTGGTCTCTGACTGGTGTTATCCCCCAAGGATCAATCGTCCTTCCACACACTCCCCCAAACAATCTCCGAGTTCGCCTGCTGCCCAGCGTCGTGCTCAGCCCTCTGGGGACACTACAATAGCCACGAACCTAGTAATGGGGCCAGATAATTCTCCGATCTAACTATTGCTGAACTATGTCAATTATTGAATCCCGCCAACTGGAAGGGTGGCCATTTATGACCTGTCACCTTGATTTGGCGGGTATGTGTGGCGATGATCGGCGAGAAAAGTCAAAGCACCCATACCATGCCAGATTATGACAGGTGAGACGCCAATTCCATTGTTCCGACGGCGCTCCATGCTGTGCGAAGATTCTCATCCTTCCACCGGGGAAAGGAACAGAACTCAAAATGAAGAACAGACAGTCCACGCGGATCCGGGGGTGAGGAGAAGAACACTGTGAACGATTCTCTGGCCAAGTTCGACGCAAGGGGCCCACTGTTTATTGCGCAGGGGAGCGAAACGAGGATAGAAGAAAAATATCAAAGAATACTATTACTGGTCGATCTACCTGCAGGACGTTCTTGTTGCATCCGTTGGGCCTGCGGGCGACGTTCGCCATGACCATCTCGATCGCAGTAGGGCAAATCAGCTAAACCCTTTCATCTCCGTCCAGAATGCGTCGGTCAATCATTTCATCTAAAATCGGGACCAATTCCTTGTCGTTTAACATTGCCCCCCTAAAACCCTCTTGTTCCGCTGGGATGCGAGGGGTGAAAGAACCCGAAACTCTCCCACTTCCCACCTTGAAACAGGGGAAATGATGCGGCAGAGCCGTATAACCGTTGACCATGGGTGTCCCCATGGAGTAGTCGAAATTCTACCAATTCGACCCGCATATGCGCGTGGGTAAACCCGACAGTTCATTGAAAATGACGCCTCACCCAGTCTCTGGAGCTAGACGACCCTCACGACTGTGAACCTCAAGTGCTTACCGTCGGTACAGGTTTGCTGGTTGACTTTTTCACTTCGCTCTCCTACCTCCCTCCCTTTCTCCCTTCCGTATGATGACCATGCAAAACGATCGTTATCAGTCACCAACCGTAGATCGGTGAGCCTTGTAGTCCCCACCCTAGATACAGATCAATTGCCCACTAACTGCCCATAACGATTGACTAGGGTTGTCGACGATAAATTGCCATCCGACACGAGGCGAGAATTGGAGAAACACATTGTCTTGAGTGACGCATCACATACGACGGGGCTAGGATCAAAAACGCGTATCCTACGAGCATCGGACGTTCTGTTATCCTTAGCGGGCAGATCGACGAGCGGTATGCTGCTTCCCGGTTACATACATATCGATGCATG